AAGATAATTGATTGATTTCGTTCCGGCTTTTATTGTACTACTTGCCGGCAAAGACGGATCCTTCGCCTTCCATTGGTGCCGGTGTGATCGCTCAGTATGCTCTGCATATTTAGAATAGTTACGAAGAATCGCATCCGAGTTGAAGACGGAGGACAAGACTGAACACCTGTCAGTGGTGCTCTCTACGAACCTGGGAGTGAAATATTCTCCCAGAGCCAAGTTCAGTCAAATTTCGCAATACCGAACAAGTTGGCCCACGAGGCAATGATTCAAACTACTCCGCCACGTCAAATTTTCACTCCCAACGAGTCCGAATCCTATCCAAGCCTCATCAAGTTTACAAGTACGACCTATTACATTCTTAATCCAATTACCACACCTCTCGTCGACTTTCTCTGGCCTCAGCCGGTCACCAAATACACGCCCACGCCGATATTTACACCCGACGGAGGACACAAAGCGTGGCGCACAAATCTGGGAGACCGTTCTTTGGGATTGGCGTGAGAGGATTCAGGACAAGTTGATAAGATGATGCAGAGAATGGATACAGTCTCGACGGGCCTGGAATTTTGAAATTTGGCAAGGAGTTTTTACAAATTGAGCTTTGTGCGTGCCAGGCCTTCGGTTGCGAGAGTGCAGGCGACACTATAAACATCGCCATGGTTGGATGGTGCGGTGGTACATCGTCTTGGACGGTCTGCCAAGTAGAGTCTGGATAGCTTGGACACATATCTCACTCGAGACAGTAGATCGCTGGTTCAAATCCGGCAAAACACAACCACTTTTCTCGCGGCGCTGGTGTACATAGATGACGAAGGCATGCTTGGATAACCAAAGTTTTTGAAATTCCCTTTGGTGGGTACTTACGGAGGAGGGTCGACTGATTGTGTAAGCAAGCATAACTCATAGTGGTATTTGCGAATGAAATACAGAGTATGAGTGTCTTTAACGTCAAAAGAGTCATCCAACATGTATACATAGCACCGGTCATGTATCATAGCTTTATAGCTGAATACACATGAAATGATTTGAAAAAAAATGCTACGCTACGTGGATGACGATTTACTAGTAATGTGAAAAGCGCATCCATGACAGTTTCTACCGAAGCGAGGTAGAACAAAGATAGATAATTAGATGTAGATGAAAACCCAACAACTTTAGAAGTTCAGTAAAACCAAAAGCCTCTTTGATCATCCCTCCACAGTCCTTGACCTAGGAGGGACTATAATAAAAATCTAATCTATCTCTGATCCAGGAATCCCCAATATCTTACGATTCATACAGTATTGACTTGACGCTCAACTTTCACATCTACCACCCCAGATACCCCCCACGAACTTTCATAATCCAGCCATGCCTCCATCATCCACCGAATTTTCTCCGCGCGAAATTTGGCCTGAGGCGTCTCCTTACCGAGTGGAGTAGGTGCCGAGGCTGCTCAAACTATACCGGAGAGCACCGCCGGGTGTGGCCCACAACACCTTCCATCCTTGACTTGTGTTTATAGTGTCAGCTGCGCTCTCGCAACCGGAGTCTTGGCGCGCACAAAGCTCAATTCATAAAACTCCTTGCCAAAATTAAAGGCCCGTCGAGATTGGATCCATCCTCTGCATCATCTCGTCAACTTGTCCTGATCCCTCTCACGCCAATCCCAAAGAACGGTCTCCCAGATTTGTGCGCCGCGTGTAAGTAGCCCAATGTGCTAGGTAGTCTAAGGATTTAGTGGCACAACAAAGACACCTCTCTCTCTGGAGCTTAGCACTTTGTGTGGTTGAAATTGGAGTTGTCCGATTCCGTTTGCAATGTCTCACGTGACATTATTGGGTGGCCTAGTTCGGAGTGGCTTATGTAAGGCCCAGCATACCCTTCATCGCGTAGCTAATATAGTCCTTGCCCTATACAGGATATAAACTCCATTTGGGGATCACTTGTGCGAATAGCTAGCGTGACCAGTCTTCTTGCAGGTACACTCTAGTCGGCAGCGCCCAGCTGGCCGGCCTCTGCGAAGGCGCCAAAAGGAACATTGTGTCTTCGGATCTAGTCCTAGTGTCGGTAGTTGAAGAGCGCGGCAACCGGTGGATTTTATAATTTTCCCGGCTGCCGTATACCCGCAGACGGCCTTCGCCTCATTAGCTGGACGGAGATGCAATGAGGGCAACGGGCTCCGCTGAGTGTACGATTGGATGAGGACTTGTGAGGGACGGTGCTGTTTGAGGGGAGCTGGCTGGGAGGCATGCGAGGGAATAAACAACTAGACAAGTATCATAGGACAGATCGCCGGGCGCTTTGGTCGAGACACAGTGTTTGATATCTTTTATATTTCTAATTCTTCCAATTTCTCTGGCTGATAGAGCCATGCACGCAGATCATCATGTGTCGACATGGATCACACACCCGTATCATGCCTCTCGGGTGTAGGTGTCGATGACTTGGAATAACCACCGAATACATTGCCCGAGGAAATGTGTCTGATGAAGAAGAAAAAAGGGGACTGTCCACACGTACGTGGGTTATTCGCTTTCGTCAGTGCTCGTAATCTATATTTAGAGCCGCAGATGGGGAATTCCTAGCGCATGTCGGTATATAGAGTTTAAGAGATCAGGTCAAGCATGATGAGGGTAAATAGTTATAGGATTCCGGGAGTAAACAGGAATCATCTTGTTTTTACTGAGTTTTCTTCTTCTTTAACTACAAATACACTTCACCTCAAAGGGCTTATCCCTCACTGTCGGTGAGAGCAGACTTTGAAATTATCCAAATTGTCTATGAAAATTTGGCTAGTATCTAATGTAGATTCTAGGAGTCCTCCGTAGTCATAGACTCAGTTAGAACGATAATAATAATCTGATCTAATCCACTTCACCTGTCACTGATCAGGCTCCCAGTTACCTGACAGTGAGGCGTGAGCCTGATACGAATAGCATCCAATCAAATCAACCCTCCTCATCCTGTCCATAGGTCGTTCCAGGTTAGGTCCGTGGCCTAATTCAGGGTATGATTGTCGCTTGCGGGGAGCCATGACAAGGATATCTCAAGTTCCCAAGTGGCTTGTGTGTGCTTTGGTCACCTACGACCAAAGTGCCTTGCAACGTAAGTAATAAATAAATCATTCAATTATCATAATTAGGTACCTTCAAGCTCATGCAAGTAATTTGGAAGATATGTAATTCGTGTAAAACGACTTAAGTTGACGTTTGGAACACGTACATTCAGATTTCATTTGCAGATACTACTTGAGGTTTACCTTTACGGCACTTAACCTCTCCCGTGCGTACCCACTACCAAGAAAGGGGAATAACCCTCTGGTTATCCGAGTGTGCTTTCTTCGCCCTTCAAATAAGACATCACCACGAGCGAATGTGGTGTATGGCTCTTACCGGAATCGAACTAGCTTTCTCCTGTCTCAAATGGTGTAGGCGTTCACGCTACCCGGAATGTGCCTGGGAAAACGGCTCAAACGGTGTACCAATGCAACTTTCAACCTTCACTTAAGTGGTACGGCCTCACGCTACACAATGATTTATGTCCGCCCCCAAGTCTAGTCAACTATTGGGCACTTTAAATAATATGCAGTCGCGTAGCTCCATCGAAGATTATTTATTGAGATTATTACATCTTGTAATTGTTTCACTTGCTACAGATACACGTATCAAAAAATCAGAATTTTCTACAGATTTATAAAACGGTTCCCCTTAGCGATTACTGCACGTTGGGATTTGGAATAGTTAATTATTTCAGGTCGAAGCACTCAATATTTGATTTCTAAGATCCTAGACATTCAAGGTATATCAAACAAGAATGTAGCTAGAAATTTGAAACATGGGAAGCGTTCTCGTCTCTAGGCGATATTAATTTTTAGACATTTCCTCGTATCAGTTATGTCTTACCCTCGGAAAGTCTCCCTTGGTATTGGCTCTGATGGAACGAGACATTTTAAAGCCTACGTTTTAGAAGTAGTTGTATGCTGATACGGCATGATAGTTAATTTCTGCTGCTCAAAGGTAAAGGTTTGATAGAGCAAAAAACCCCGTATTCTATCATCACCAATTTGACTTTATAGCAAGAAGAGCTCTATGACTTGATGCTTACCAAAAAAATTTAGAGTTTAGATCTTACTGTTATCCTCGGTCTAAGAGTATCTAAACCATCTGTCCGAGTGTCGAATCTCTTTGGTTTTTCCCGGAGTAATATCAGTACTCAGTTTTTGGAAAATTTTAAGATCTTATATAACCGGAGAGTGGCTACTGAATTCTGACAAGTTGTTACAATATTTGCAGATTGAATAACGCATATTGTCGAGGTGAATCCATATCCCTGGAGATTATAAATTAAATATGCCAAAAGCACTGCTTATCTCAAGGTGTACCCAGGGAGCGATAAAACCTTGCGCGGGGAGACTAATCAGCGAAGTTTTGAGGCCATTCATTTTAAACCAACGTGTCTAGGTGGTTCGGCTGAAAGCATGTTGAATCCAAGTCGATATGCTTGAGAAATTAGGGCTCCAAATCTCGCTACTAGGACTGGGTTTTTTGATGAAAAATTTTGAGCTCTCAGTTCAATACGTTTTTATCTTACTACTTAATGTGAATATTATTCAAAATTTAGTCAGATTTTTGCTACCCAATGTTGATCATTTACTAGCACAAATTCTCTCGATACCTTCAGAGGTTATTTACCTTCTCCGAAGTAAATAGTTGGAAGATCATGATCTGTCTAAATTAAACTGCTAGATCAGAGGGTTGGTAATTTGATGTACATGCCGTAAATATAAGCCCAAGGAGAGATTGGAATTATGAGTAATATTCCGGTGTAGTAGATGTGATTGTTCAGCGCCATCATTGCACAATCTAGAATTGACAAAGCAAAAATCTTGTAGTGTGCTGATGAGATTCGGCCAATATTTCTTTGTCGGTGGGCTACTAATTTAGACGCATAGAAATATAACGGCTCAGAATTGTACAAGTTTCCATGATAGGAGAAAGTTGGCTTGTCTAGATGAATCACATCTTGAGGCGGGCGTTGATCGGGGGGGTGGGTCCTATGTTTGAGAAGCGTTCTGTCTTGACATTTTCCGAGTATTCAATCCGATCTGTCATCCATGACACAATTCTGATATTATGATCCTGTTCCTCAGCGATCTCCGACTTCTCACCGGGGAGCTGGATAGCTTTGTCAATATCAAAAGGTAGGCCACGATGTCGTCCACGCATCATCATGGCACAAAGAATCAATCGAGAGAATGGATGCCAGGCACCGCAAAAAGAGTAGGCTTGATCTGGCAGACCTACACTGAAGCCAACACCACCATATGCCGAGATAATTTCAAAAATTATGTTAAATAGAGCGAATGTGAGCGGGTCACGCTCATAGTTAGTGGATTCGAAGCATGTTATTATCATCATTCCAATGACCAGGAACCACAGGTCGTGACCGAGTTGTCTACGAATTTGCTCCTGAACAAAGTAAAATCGGTCCAAGTGACGGGTTGGAAAAGCCTTGAAAGCTTGACAATCTTCGGACTTTTCGGGATCACTAGTTTTTGGAACATCTCTCGTATAAATTCCGAGAGATCTTTCTTCGTACACGTTTGAACTACGCATGGTGATGGTAACTGGGAAAGCCGAAATGTACATCATGAGAACATACAAGGATTGGAGACCGACGAATAAGGACGCTATTGGTATTACTGTGAATCCACTGGACCTTATTGCAATGGTTTGAAAGAGGCCATCCAACACTAATGGCCCCATAGGAATTGAGCGCAAGGCAACACTATAGTGATTGAGAATCTCGAATGCTGTCCAGTCGAAAGCGTTAAAGAAAATTAGTAGAGCGAGCAGCCACCAAGTTTGCTCCGAAGGAAATAAATTTGTGTAGACACGGCGTGGAAATCTTAGAATAAATCGAAGCGTTTCTGTCCAATCGCTGAATTTCTCGTTGTCGGGAATGATTCTGAGTGCTAGCCTCAATAGCCACCGAAGAAAGATTGGATAACTTGTTAATTAGCTACAGGTTCTCAAAAGCTTTGGGAATCGGCCTACGCAGTGTTACCAGCCATCATAAGAAAAGAGAGAACTACCAGGGGAAATGTAGAGTTTTGTAGAGGAGCCTGTTATGTCAGTTTATAACTTGAAATAATAAATTGACTAACATACCACGCTGCCATCTAATAGAGACATGCCGGCATTATTGAATGCAGCCACTCCAAGATATATAGCAACCCACCTGCGTGTAACTCTTTAGCACGGTTAAAAGTGTAAGAAGTGTAAGCTTACCATGGATGAGTGTGTATATCTGTGGCAATTGAGGGTTTATTTGCACTAATATAGAGCCCCAAAGCTAGACACCCGATAACCTGCCAGATGATGTAGTAGGCCGGAACTATATATCCAAGGAGTTTTACGGCCTGATATTCGACACATCGAACCCGTTTTCGCTCCTCGATTGATAGGCTGTGGAACTGAGAGTTTCGATCAATGTGCGTCGGCTTGTATTGCTGTCGATTATATATGGTCATGTCTGTAGAGATAGAGCTCTGGGCGGCGATGCTCGAGTGAGAAGGGGTATTTTGAATTTCATGGCTGAAGACAGAGGCTTTTATCAAAAGTTAGGTAAATCTAAGCAGTATGGAATTTACAACATACAAGGCGTGGATACTTTAAGAGCAAATTGTGAGCGCTGTATATCTTCTTCCTCCTCTTCCTTGAACCTAACCTCAAAAGCTCGCCTACGCACATGTATGACTATGATGCTAACAAGTATATGATTTCCGGCTACCATGAGCACTAAAAGTAGAACCTGTTGAAATAAGTTGAGGGCAGCTAGGTTGACAGTGTTCAGGCCAGCCTGGGTCATGGCGGCTACCACCATGAAGATTGAATTCACATAAGAGATGTCAGTGGAGTTGATACACCAGAATAGAAGTGAGGATATAAAGCATGTAACGATAAAGTAGACCCAGTGCAAAACAAGAAATGTTGGTCGGGGAAATGTGGAGCACCAACGCTTGAACTTGGCAATGGTGCTGTTGGCGAGAAGCGATTCGAAGCACGTTAATGGAGTTTGGTGAAGGGGCGAATTAGGGATCCGGGCCATCTGAGTGATTCCTTCAGGAGGATGAGGATTTTTTGGGTAACGATTGTATAAATAAGTGACTGTTGTGGCGACTGCACATGAGATTGAAGTTGGTTTAAAAGAGCGAAGCTGTGGTGAGTCGAGGTAAGAGAGAAAGATACTGATTGTACGTCGGTCTGAATACCTTCTAGTTAATAGGACGCATGTTTACCAAATACCAGACATGTAAACGTGTAAATACATATACAAATCTTCATTGTGATGCCAGCGCCAGCGATACCGGACAAGATGACTTTATACGACTCACACCTCCTTGCCTGTTTCTGCATACCGATGGGTCCACAGTCCTGGCCGCGTTTCGAGGCGTCTTCAAGTTAGCTGAACTGGCTGGGACACAGATAAAGGGCAATCCGAAGAGCTGGCTGTTGTCGCTGGGATTAATACGGCTTGTCGCATTGACCCTGTAGGTGCAGGCTCTATCTGAGACAGGCAAGTGCCGAGCAAGACTAAGGTCGATCCTTTTTTGAAGTTGATCAAGGAACACAGCCTGATGCAATCTAGACTCACACATACTAGGGGCAAATGCTAGCTACTAGCTAGACAAAGCGTTTCTGTAAACGCGTTCAATTTGATTAATCAGGGAATTGTGACTCGTAAACTTTCATTTGTTTACATTTAGCATGGCCTACTCGACCAAGTACTCCCTCTATAGACTTAATTCATAATTACTACTGTGAGGTATATTTGTACTGACTGAACAATCGACTCTCGTCCGTGACCAGCCACGAAAGGAAAGCCGGACCAAGTCTTGCTGGGTAGATACGAGGTATTTGACTCTAGGAACACAGCAGCGGCAGCAACTGTGCGTCAAAAAATGGTTCAAGAGTTGCAGTTGATTCTTCCCCAGCTACATAGACTTAAGCCAAAAAATCATTCATGGCCGGTCTGAGCCTCAATCCTGTACGACCTTGCTTTGTGGCAGGCAAGCCGGCAGGAGAAGTTCCGCACCCAGCATATTCTCAAGCAACAGTATAGATTGGGGTCTAGATGTCCGAATAGTTCAAGCAATCCTTTCTGGACATGGCAGCAGACCGATCAAACCCAAGATATTGGACGCCTGTGTCGCTGGATGCGGCGTTAGGACCCACCTTTCCTGGTAACGCCTGTGGGCCGGCATGACGAGCGACGCCGGGAATTCCAGATTAACGGAGCCCATTGCTGTGGCTACTAGTGGGACCAGCACAACAGCTTTCTAGAATTCCTGGGCTAAGCGAAAGCCGACGACTCGCTCGTTGTGGGGGTTAGGGCGACGAGGCTTGGCTGAGGCAGATTGCTGGATTCAGCAAAACGGGAGCGCCCTGCAAATCCTTTACCCCACATTTATCCGCACACCCCTCCCCGCCGGGACAAAGACGTCTGAGCTTTAATCGGGACCTGGTCAATTTATGCTTTGCTGAAAGTATGCTTGCACCCGAACTGCTACATTTGGCTGGCGCTCGCTAAGCTTTCCCATTCGAGTTGTTGGACGGCTAATCGTGGAAATTCCATCGCCCTTGTCGGATATGGAATTCTTGTTTCAGCAACATATGCGGTGTCTTCCTAAAATATTCCCTCGCTTCATGGCTACCTACATGCAGATTTGTCCCACCAAACTAGCCAGCCGCCCTGCTAACGGTCTCGCAGCTACAGGAGCCCAAATACCAGCGAGACTTTCAGCTTCAATGAGGGCAAAGACCACAACATGTGACGCATCAGCGAGCTAGCCTTTTCAATGACACAGGCAAGATTGTCCCCGACAAAAATTCGTTGCCGAGTGATCTAGTAGACCACTCATGCACTCCGGCTGCTAGTCAAACGCTTGGTCGCTGAACCTGCAGGGGAAGCCGGCTACACTACCTGCTTCTCTCTTTTCCCTCGCCTACTGATAGACTCATTGTTAATCTTTGGTGTTGCATACCTTCACCTAGCCCTCAAGTAGACATTCCATCTCATGGAATATTACGAGTGGCGATTCCAGCCAAGACCGCTGACTGTCTGCGACCATTGGCAGCTGATGGAAGATTGTCCAGAATTTCTTGAACACCAATTAACTTATTCGGGGTTATTGACGTTTAAAATTGCAATCTACAAGTCTATCAAAGGGCTCGCTGACAAAAAGACGATTCATTATCATAAAGCAGTGCCTGTCTTTCAAATGAGCCTGTTGTATATTTACTTCAAGAAAATTGTGGCGTATCAAGGTGCCAGAAGTCCTATTTGCTATTTTGGTATGGAATTTCTTCTGTAGAATGATTCAACTCCTGCTACAGTATGGGAGTGAGTACAAGATGTGTGTTCAGAGATGAGCATTTCCTAGCATTAAATTAAGGGAATTTCGAAGCTTTAGATGTGGCTCCTCTGGCATTCACGGATCACCAATGGCCCATCCACACCCCTAGAAAATCAATTAATGCTTAATTTTAATTTACTCAATTAAAGAAGGACTGATATTATTGATCGTGGATTAAGCATAGCTATCCCTACATACTCCTGTATTGAAATCACGTTTTATGTCAAGCAAACTCAAAAGTCAACCTGGCCTCGAGCCTCACAGAAGGCAACTTGCATGGATTCCTAGAGTAATCCAAACTTATACTTGAGTTTTCCGTCGACGTCATCAAGGACGTCCACATATACATAGCTTAAATGAATTTAAATTCACCGTAAAGATAGAGACACATAGCCAGCGGACTACCAGCTAGCAATCGTCTAGCGCATTCTTCGTGACATCAAAGTGTTTTTTAGCAATTACAGTGAACAGTTCTCGATGCGCTGAAATAAACCACAATCATGATAAAACCAAAAACCTCGAGTCGGCTACTTTAACCTTCAGGTGATAACAGATCATCAATTCAGACTCTCCAAAATCCAATCATAATTTAGGCGGCCTTTACTTTGGATAAATCTAGGTAGTAAAATAAGTCAACGATGCCTGTTTCATGAAGTTAACATTTATTAATAAATTATTAATTGTGTCAAAAATCCAACAAAAGAATTATTAGGGCTTGTCCCTAAAGATCGACTCAGGTTAAAGATATGATATTCAGCGTAGAAAATGAATTCATAAACCATCGGAAGGTTGGATAAATCTTTTAAATTGTACCCAATGGATCGATCGATAACTAACAAGCTGTATTAAAAATTTACATGACAATATTATAGATACCTTGAACTGGCAAAAACGAATTCTTCACCTTCCAGTGGTGCCGGTGTAATCTCTCATTATGCTCTGCATATCTAGGACATCCAAGAAGAATCGCAACCGAACCGAAGTCGAAAGCAACATTAAGAATATCTAAAATCGACAACTCCTCGACAAATTTTTGACCTGTTATTCTCACGCAAGTCGTCCACCTCAATCTTACCACACCACCTCGCCCAAAATACCGATAATGGCGTTACTCCAATTGCCATCGGGTATTTGCTTCATCGAAACCAGCCATCTCCCACTACATAATAATGATGCTGTGTAAACCCGCGAGGAGGAATTAAGTCATAATCTACAAAGCTTGGGTCATGGTCTATGGGGGACCGTTGCTCTAATGGGGCTTCACATTCTATGGGAGGACGGGCAGCTGGGACGTGGGACGTGGGACGAACGAGTAAAAAGCTCACAAATGGGCATGCTGGGACAAAGATTTTTCGAGTGTTTCCGACTGAAGGGTGTATGGGTGCCGAGGCAACGATTTCGGATAGTGTAACTGACACTCTAAAAATAATCAACGATGGAAGGTGTTTTGGTCCGCCTCCTGGTCGTTATCTCCCCGAATTAAAGTCTGGGTAGCCTGGACACCTACCTCACTCGAGAAATAGTGAACTGTGAGGCCATATCTTGCGCGGTGGCTACATGCCAGACGACAAAGGCATGTTAGGGTAGCCAGGGGTTTTTCCTGTTTTCCCTTTGGTAGATATTAGCGATCGAGGGAAGGGTGAAAGTCCCTAGCACCAAGGTCTCGAGTGGTATCAGCGAATGCACCCACTACATGAGTAGTCCAAATGACAAAATGAGTTATCGTCGTATATAGTCGTTGAAGAAGCTAGTCTTCTCCGTGTCATGCTCTTTGAGTGCAGGGCTTGTGCCCGTCACGAATAAATATTCATTCATTCATAGATTTCTTGATAGTGCGATCCTCACTTAGAAGATCCACCCTGCTTCAAGTGACAACGTTGACTTAACCCTAACTTCTATGCTTTAACAAGTTCTTTAATAAGTTCTCCACAGCTTCGCATCTAATAGAGACTTAAATTTGAATCAATTCGCTAGCCAAGAAAGGAACAGCTCTTACGCATGAAGCATTTATTGTCATAGGACACTAATCACGTGCTACAATGTACGCTTGGACCAGTGAGGAACCACTTTTATGTGTATATAGTATTGCGTTAGCCACCATGTCTTTCTCTCCTCATAGATTACAATCATATTATTGTTTTGCCTTTTAGTCAGAGTCTTTCCTGACCCTCATGCTATCACATTGATTGTAATCTCCATTTTAGTCTAAACCACTTGTAATCAGCGACGTCTCGCAATTATATGAGTAGTGACGACAATTTTAACCTTGAAGGTATTCTCCGTGAAATTTCTGCGATAGAAATCGACGCCTCAAGTGCAAATACAGAGTCTCACAGACCTGCCCTGGAACCAGAGCCACAGACGCCTGAATCAAAAATCGCAACAACTAAACACGAAACCAGAAATATTAAAGCCACAATGACAAACCAAACCGACGCAGTACAGCACAAGTTCACAACTTGGGATGGAACACCTGATCAATATTCTTTATGCTCAGTCATGTGGCGAGTAGCAGCGGAGGACCCAGCAATCATCAAGGGTTTTGGTGGTGAAAGAGGCGTCTGCCTTGCACTTATGCAGACGTTACCAGCGGAGCACAGAAGCCGAGTGGGGCCTTTCTTTGAGAAACAAGTTAAAGCTAAAGAATTTTACTCAAGTTCACTTCTCGACGAATTCGACCGGCACTTCGTTG